GAAACGACCCAGTGAAGCAAGGTACAGCCAGCTTCACTGGGTCGTTTCCTCCTGGTACCTAGTGGAGCCTCCGGCGGCCAGTCTACGGTCTCCGCCAGGCGCCCCGTGAGTGGCACGACACAGTGAGGACTACACTTGCGGCTCTTGGGTTTGCTCCTTCTACTGCCGACCCGTCGCTGTTTCTACGCACCAACACCTCGCTGTTGCCGTTTTACATCCTCGTGTACGTCGACGACTTGGTCTTTGCTACTACTGACACTGCTGGACTCGCCCACGTGAAGTCCGAGCTGCAGAAGAGACACACGTGCACAGACCTGGGTGAACTGCGCAGCTACCTTGGCTTGCAGATCACCCGGGACAGAGCACAGCGCACCATTACCCTGACTCAGTCACACATGGTGCAGCAGGTCCTTCAGCGCTTCGACTTCACGTACTCCTCGCCTCAGGCCAGTCCTCTGTCTACTCGCCACTCGCTCTCAGCTCTGCCTTCGGATGAGTCCGTAGAGCCGATTGGCCCGTACCCAGAGCTTGTTGGTTGCTTCATGTACTTGATGACCTGCACACGACCTGACCTTGCATACACTCTTAGCATCTTGGCACGCTATGTTGCTCCTGGGAGACACCGACCAGAGCACATGGCTGCAGCGAAGAGGGTGTTGCGCTACTTGTGCAGTACATCGGACATGGTGCTAGTGCTTGGAGGGCGACGTCGAGTGGTCCTCACAGGTCACGCATACGCTTCTTGGGCTGACGACCAGGCTACGCAGCGGTCGTCACAAGGTTACAACTTCAGCCTTGGTTCCGGCTCTGTTTCGTGGCGGGCTACCCGCTCGTCTTCTGTTCTCGGCTTGAGCTGTGAGGCTGAGATCTACGCGGGGGCCATGGCTGCACAGGAGCTATGCTGGCTCACCTACCTCCTGACTGACCTAGGAGAGCCGCCACGTTCTCCTCCAGTTCTGTACGTAGACAACAAGGCCATGCTGGCTTTGTGTCGGGAGCACAGACTGGAGCACAGAACGAAGCACAATGCTCTTCGCTACTTCCTTGCTCGTGAGCTGCAGCAGCGTGGTCAGCTGCGCCTTGCTTACGTGGCCTCTTAGGCCAACACTACTGATATCTTTACCAAGGCACTTCCGCCTTGTGATCATCAGCGCTGTTGTACGATGCTAGGTCTTGTGCTTACTTGGCCTCACTTGCTCACTTCTTGACCTTGCTTGTACTGTGATCTTTCTATACCTGCACTTGCTTGTTTACCTTTATATATGATCTTGCATGTGAACTGGCTTTGTGGCCTTGAACTTGTGCTCGGAATGTGTGGTGACGTTGTGATCCACCCTGAGCTTGCTTTGCTTTGCTTGACTGGTCTTGTGACCTCTTGTTCTCCCCCACTTTGCCTATGGGGGTGTGTCAAACTCATATGCTATAGTCTGTGTAGGCTGTAGTGGGGTAGACAATATGGGGTACAACACTTTTAGGTTTTCCTACTTGTACCCACCTGCTTGCTAGTTCATTCATTCCTCATTTCTTCATACATCAATTACCGAGCGCTCAACATGGTAACAGTCTAGTCGCGGTACCTCATTCCCCGCGCCGACGAACTGATCGACCAACTGCGAGCAGCACGGGTTTTTTCGAACATAGATTTACGGGGAGGTTACCATCAGATTAGGGTCGAACTATCGGACTGCGCCAAACAGATTTTCAGACTAGGTACGGGTCATTCGAGTACACCGTGATGCCTTTCGGGCTGACCAACGCACCAGCGACATTTCAGATGACCATGAACGAGGCGTTTATGCCACTTCTAGATAAATTCGTGATCGTTTACCTCGACGGCATCCTTGTCTACAGTCGCGACGAGCAGCGGCACTTAGCAGATCTGGAAGCAGTGTTTAAGATTTTAGACGAGCACCGACTCGTGACAAAGGGTTCCAAGTGTGAGTTTTTTCAAGACCGGCTAGAATTTTTGGGGCACGTTATTTCGGAGGCTGGGGTCGAAATCGACCCCAAGAATTTAGACACGGTGAAAGCCTGGCACCCCCCGACGATTTTAACGGAGCTACAAAGCTTATTAGGGTTCGTCAATTACGTGCGTCGGTTCGTCCCCGACATGGCTCGGTTAATAGCGCCGCTGACGGACTTGTTACGGAAGGGGGTCGTTTTTACGTGGGGGGAGAAAGAGCATGCTGCCTTCTCTGCCCGGAAAAATGTTCTCTGTTCACCTCCCGTCCTACGCATCGCCGACCCACACCGCCCATTCGAAGTAGTTACCGACGCAAGCGACATCGCCATCGGAGCCGTACTGCTACAAGACTTCGGCAATGGCCTACATGTCAAGAATAATATATATTTCTATATATTGTTTTGTAACTGCCTGTAGTGTAGACTAGTGTAGTTATATAATGTTCTGTTTTGGTGGTGCACCTTTCATCTTGCCTATATGTACTGCTCGCTCTATAGTGAAAACCCTCCTTCTTCTCTTTTCAATTCTCTCGACTCTACTCAACTTACTCGAACTCAACTAGCTATGGCTCCTTTAGCCTAGCTAAGCTTTTGACACTACAACCCATCGCATACGAGTCACGAAAACTGCATCCGCCCGAGAAAAATTACCTGATACACGACCGCGAAATGCTTGCGATCGTGCACGCGTTCAAAGTGTGGCGCTGTTAATTGACCGGCGCGGACGTGACAGTACGGACAGACCATAAATCACTACAATACCTCCGCGCATAGCCACACCTCAACCCACGACAGATCCGCTGGCTCGACTTTCTCGAGTCTAATTTTCACTACACGATCACCTACAAAAAGGGAGCCTCGAACATCGCCGACGCACTGACCCGCCCCACTGCCCAGATCCATGCAATACTACTCGCCCAGACTAGCCCCCTACTGACAGGCCTATTTACCCACGAGTACCAAACGGATCCATTCTTCACAAGAGGAAATTCGCAGCAGCAAGGGGAGTCTATTACGTAAAAACCGGGACCGGCCGCATCTTGGTGCCCGGGTATACACTGCTACGGGAATTACTGTTACAGGAGGCACACGACGGAGTTACCTCGGGGCATTTCGGGGTAGAGAAAGCACGGCAGCAGCTGTAGCGGTATTATTACTGGCCCGAAATGTTGACCGGCGTATGACGACACGTGGCATCGTGTCCCACTTGCCAGCTCATGAAATCATTACGGCAGCGACCGGCAGGATAGTTGCAGCCGATACCACCCCCAGAGCGTGCTTGGCAGCAGGTGACGATGGACTTCGTCACGGGGTTACCGGCTGGGGCGAGTGGGAACGACGCGATCCTAGTCGTCGTCGATCGACTGACGAAAATGGCACACTTCGCAGCCTGCAAAAAATCAATCACAACCGAAGAAACAGCACGCCTCTTCATCGCCACCGTCGTTCGACTACACGAGATACCAGCAGCGATAGTCAGCGACCGCGACACGAAATTCACCAGCAACTTCTGGCGGGACCTGTGGCAGCAGTTCGGCACGCGACTACAGCTCAGTTCTTCGTACCACCCCGAAATCGACGGACAGACAGAACGGACAAATCAGACCATGGAACAGCTCATCAGGGCCACGTGTGATGACCCGACCACGTGGGAACAGCAACTGCCACTAATCGAATTCGCATACAACAACTCACCGTCCGCCACGACCCAACAGTCACCGTTTTACCTTAACTACGGACAAGACCCAACAGTACCCATGACCCCGAATACCGACAACCCGGTGCTAGGAGGACAACAGTTTGCCAAAATTTTACAAGCAGCACGGACCCAGGCAGTAGACGCAATTAAAAAAAAAAGCAAACATCATCGCTAAACGTAACGCCGACCACCACCGCCGGCCCGTCACTTACCAACCTGACGACCTAGTTTTACTCGACACTCAGAACCTCCGACTGCCCATCACCCCAAAACTCCGCCCTCGATACTGCGGGCCATTCGCATAAGCCACATGATTACGCCTGTCACCGCCCACCTCCTCCCCGCTGAATGGTACGTCAGCCCCTCATTCCACGTCAGCCTGCTTCGCCCTTACGTCCCGTCCACAAGCCAACTGCCACGAAATCGCCCAGCCAACATGACACGACCGCCGACTGAACCAATCATCACACCCGAGAAAATTCGGAGCCACAGAGTTTGTGACCCTCGAGGAGCCCGAAGGATCGAGTTCTTGATCCGCTGGAAAGACCATACACCCACCGAAGACAACTGGGGTCCCTTGGACAGAGTCGAAAACCACCCCGTCCTCACAAAGTATCTGCACAGCCGAAACTTCATGGATGTATACGCGCTTTCGTAAGGAGGACCTCCCTAGGGGGGCGCTTCGACATTTCCCCAAACATCAGTCCAAGGCCCGTCGCGCGACAACCACAGTTCATTACCATTACCACTGTAGTTTCGCTATATATTCTTCGCTCATGCCTTCGCTCATTGTACTCTTGCTTTGATAGTGCAATTCTAGCTAGCTCTCTCAATGTAAGGAATTTTCCCGAATTCCTTATCGGGGTTGACTGCTTCGCGTACAACCCGATTTTCGGAGTTCGCACGTTCGGCCGATTTCAACGCTGCCGAGGCTCCTCGCGTCGCCTTCGGCATTTCCATCGCCAAACTTGCACCCAACCTCGTCTCCCGAGGTTTCCTCCTAGCTAGGCTAACCCTACATTAGTCCGTGCATTCATTGTATTCTCAGTGCATTCAGTCATAGTCTCGTTATTCGTTTACCTGCGCACTCTCTTTTACCACTCATAACACTCAATTGCACTCGTTATAGAGAATCGCGTAAAATTGTCAGCACGTCCCATTCAGCCGCCAACCCCAAAGCCCCTTGCAGCCAGGCTTCCACGCACATGCATTCAATGAACAGAATCCAAACCTGCAGCCTGCATTTCTGAACTGCAACAGCAGTTTCTTCTGTCTCCACAGATCTAACCTTATCTTCTGGAGAACTGCCGTACAGAACACGCCTCGCTGTAGTCACACCATGACCGAGGCACACGGTTCGCTCGTGCCACGTCAGATTGTCTCCATTAGCATCTGCGCCGCGGCGGCTGGATTGCTCGCGGCCGCGGCTCTCGCCTACTATTACCGCCAGCGGAGGCAGCGCCGCGAGCAGCGGAAGGCCGACGATGGCGAGACGGTAGCCCCGTTGATCGCGGGAAGTGCAGTCGGAGACGCGGATGCGACGGATGCGAGGGAAGGCGGATGTGCAGGCGCTGAGCGCGGCGATGAAACTGCGATCGTCGCAGCAAGTGTTGGCGCAGCGTCGCCCGCAAAGAGCGGCGGAGGGGAGGGCGAGCGCGGCGTGCTGGTAGTGTACTGCAGCCAGACGGGCACGGCGCGCCGACTGGCGGGCGCGCTGGTGGACGAGCTCTCGCGCGACGGCGTCCCGTGCCAGGTACGCCCGCCATCCCGCCACTTCCGCGGCCCGCCTCCCTCGCACTGCTGCTTCATGCCTCCCCCACCCCCTCTCCGTCCTCCATCCCGCGTGAGTCACTTCCAAACCCAACCCGCCTCCTTCATCAACCTTTCCGCCCTTACCTTTTCTCTCTTTCCCCCTTCTTCCCATTTTTCCCTCTTCTCCCACCACCCCCTCCCCTCCATATCCCTTCTCCCATCCCCCTCCATATCCCTTCTTTCCCCGTTCCCCCTCTCCTCCTCTTCTCTCCCCGTACCCCTTCCCTCGCGCCGCCCCAGCTGCAAGACCCCGTGCTGTACGAGCCAGAGGACCTTCCCAAGGAGCGCGTGCTGCTGCTCGTCGCGTCCACGTGGCAGCACGGCTCGCCGCCCGACCACGCCGCCTTCTTTCTGCGCTGGCTGCACGAGAGCGCCTCCGACTTTCGCGTCGGCGCCGCGCTCCTCGCGCCGCTGCGCTTCGCCGTCTTCGGGCTCGGCAGCTCCGCGTACGACGAGGCGGAGGAGGCGGGGGAAGCGGGAAGAGGGGAGGCCGGGGAAGGGCAAGGGGGAAAGGGGGAACGCGCGGGGTGCTGTGCGTCTAGCGCGGATGCCGGAGGTGCTGGCGACGGGGGGAGCGGCAGCGGGCGGTGCGGGGAAGGGGGCGCTGTGTGCTGTAAGGAGGAGGGGAGTGCGGGGGATGATTTTAAGGGATCCGCAGGCGGAGCGGGTACGGGGGAGGTTTGCAAGTGCAGCGCCGGCGGCGGCAGCAGCGGCGGGCGGTATTACAACGCGGTGGCGCGCGCAGCGGACGCGGATCTGGCGGCGCTGGGGGCGCGGAGGCTTGCGCGCATGGGGGAGTACGACGAGGCGGAGGGGGATGACGTGGACAGCGCGTTCCGCGACTGGGTCCGCGCTGTCAAATCCGCATTGGCTGCCGCAAAGGGCGGATCCGGGAATGGCGCGACTTTGAAAGCGTCGGGAGGGCAGGAGGAGGTAGAGGAGGAGGAGGAAGAAGAGGAGGAATACGAGGAATATGAAGGGGAGAGCGAGGAGGAGGAGGGGGAGGGGGGAGCGGAGGGGTTGGTCGATCTGGAGGACGTGGCGGGGCCGCACGCCCCCGCGCGCGCGCATGCGGACGCGCTCGACGCGTGGGACTTCGTGGGCGAGGGCGCGGGCGGGAACGGCGCGGGTGGCGCTGCGGGGGAGGGAGAAGGCAGTGGCGCGGGGGGCGGGGAGCCGGGGGAGCAGGGGGGGCGGGGGGGCCGCGGGGACGGGGTGGTGCGGCAGGGGGGCGTGTACACGGGCCCTGCGGGGGTGAAGAAGAAGTGGTTCGTGCGCAGTGGGAAGAAGGGCAAGGCGGGCGGCAAGGGGGAGACCGGGGGAAAGGGGGCGCGGGGAAAGAGCGGGGGAACAGGCGCGATAGGGGTTGGGAACGGTGCAGTGGCTGCGGCGGAGGGTCCAAGGGAGATGGTCACGCCGGTGCTGCGCGCTAACCTGGAGAAACAGGTGGGGGGGAGGGGAGGGGGAGGGGGAGGGGGAGGGGGAGGGGGAGGGGGAGGGGGAGGGGGAGGGGGAGGGGGAGGGAGGGGGGAGGGAGTGGGGAGGAGTGGGTGGGGTTTAAAACGAGTGAGCACGCGGGGCAGAGAGAGGCGTAGGGGAGGAGGGGAATAGGCACAGCACGGAGGGCAGGGCTGTGGGTGGCAGTAGGAGAAAGGTCAGGTGGACAGATCTAAGGGGTCCTGGCACACACGTGTAGCACCTCTTACACCTCCTCCTGTCTCCTGCCTCGTCTCTCCTCTCTCCTCTCTCCTCTCTCCTCTCTCAAAAGCGCATTGCCCTGTTTTGTCCCTTGTTCTCCTGTGTTGCGTGTGTGTTCACGGTGGTGGCACGGAGCAGGGGTACCGAGTGTTGGGGTCGCACAGCGGGGTGAAGGTGTGCCGGTGGACCAAGGCACAGCTGCGCGGGCGAGGCGGCTGCTACAAGCACTCCTTCTACGGCATCCAGAGCCACCTGTGCGCCCCGCCCTGCCCTGCCCCCCCTGCCCTCCTGCACGCAGACACAAACACGCATGTGCATGCACACCCACATGTGCACGTGCACAGACATGCGTGCACAGGCATGTGCACACACATGCACTTACCACACACACACATGCCTGTTGGCATGCACACACACAAACACATGGAGTGAACAGGAGCGGATGGAGGAAGGGGCCATCGTGTGTGGTGCCTATGAAAGCACGTGCTACGCTCCTCGTATAGCAGTGCTCTCTGGGCGCATATGTGCTGCTGCGCACCCTGCCATCCACCACGCCTCTCGTGCTGCCTCCTCATGCCTCTTTTTGAATGTCTCTGTGTGGGGTTGTGTCTGTGTGGGGTTGTCTCTGTGTGGGGTTGTGTCTGTGCGTGTGTGTGTGCATGTGTGTTTGGGTGGGAGGAAAAGGGGGTCGGGTGAAGGAGGTGTAGGGTGTGTGTGTGTGTGTGTGTGTGTGTGTGTGTGTGTGTGTGTGTGTGTGTGTGCGTGTGCATGTGCATGTGTGTGAGCGTGTGTGTGTGGGGGAGCGAGCATGGAGGCATCAGGTGCATGGAGGCAACGCCAAGTCTGGCGTGTGCCAACAAGTGCGTCTTCTGCTGGCGCCACCACACCAACCCCGTTGGGAAATCATGGCGCTGGCAGGTGCGCGCTCACCCATGCACTCACGCTCACGTGCACACACACACACATGGTCACATCACACACACACATGGTCACATCACACACACACATGGTCACATCACACACACACATGCACACAGAGGGGACTGGGAGAGAGCGAGGCGAGGGGGAGGGGGAGTGAGGTAGTTAGAGGGAGGAGGAGAGAGATGGTGGAGGGAGAGACAAGGATGGTATTAATAGCTAGGTGGGAGGTTGAGTGCGATGATGGAAATGGGTGGGGAAGGATACACATACGCATGCTTGTATGCATAATTGTACGAGGAACTATCAAGCGCTGTTTATGCATGTGTTTGCATGTGCTTGTGTGTGCATGCATGTGTGCATGTGTGCATGTGTGCATGTGTGCATGTGTGCATGTGTGCATGTGTGCATGTGTGCATGTGTGCATGTGTGCATGTGTGCATGTGTGCATGTGTGCATGTGTGCATGTGTGCATGTGTGCATGTGTGCATGTGTGCATGTGTGCATGTGTGCATGTGTGCATGTGTGCATTTGTGCATGTGTGCATGTATGGTTGGCAGGTGGACGAGCCAGAGGACATAGTGGAGGGGGCATTGGCAGGCCACGTGCAGATGATCAAGCAAATGAAGGGCGTGCCTGGTACCCTCCACACCACACCACACCACACCATCGTCCTTCATCGCATGTCACACATTGCGCCCATCCCATCCCACATGCTTCCCATCCACACCCACATGGGTGTAACCCATCCCTCACAGCCTACCTATGCTGTACCCTTGCTCCCGCCCAACAACTCCCACCCCTCAACGCAACTCCCTCTCTCACACACTCACACTACCCCTACCTCCATACTCAGCCGTCACCACCCACCTCCCTCTCCCCCTACCCCCGTCCCTCCTCGCACCCAGGGGTGAAGCCAGAGAGGCTGGCAGAGGCAATGACGCCGCGGCACTGTGCGCTGTCTCTGGTGGGCGAGCCCATCATGTACCCGCACATCAACCGTTTGCTTGCTCTGCTGCACGGCCGCCGCATCTCCTCCTTCCTCGTCACCAACGCTCAGTTCCCTGACAAGATCACCAACCTGCACCCCGTCACACAGGTGCTGCTCCGCTCTGCTCTGCTCTGCTCTGCCCCACTCCGCTTTAAACTTCTCTCCACCACTCTCGACCTGTTTCAAGCTTCTCTTGAACCATTCCTCTTCGCTGCCAGCCTGCCTCGTCTAGATCTCCTCCTACTATTCTGTCACTTGGGCATCTCCCCCTCTCGTTGGCCTCTCACTCTCTGCATCTCTCTCCTGCGTTTCTCCTTCCACACGGGGTCCTTCTTCCCCGTGCCCTCCCCCCCCCACACGGCACACACCACGGGCAGCTGTACGTGAGTGTGGATGCGGGCACCAAGGAGTCGCTCAAGGCCATTGACCGCCCCCTCTTTGGGGACTTCTGGGAGCGATTCACCGTGAGCATGCTCGCCCACTCCGCCTTCTCTCGTGCTCCGCCTTCTCTCTCACCCCACATACTCTCTCACCTTCTCCCTCGCCCCACGTACTCCCTCCCTCCACATACTCTCCTGACCCACATAATCTCTCGCCCCGCATGTTCCCGCACCCCACATACTCCTTCGCCCCACATGTTCCCCCGCTCCAATGTTCCCTTGCGCATCCATGCGTCGTCGCCCCACATACAATTGCACATCCATCCTGCAAGTCCGGCCTCCTAGATTGTTTTTTCTCTCATAGATATCCCTTTTGTGCATGTGTTTCCTCCACATGCCATGCACCATGCGCCACGCTGCAGGCGTCCCTGACAGCGCTGCGCAGCAAGCAGCAGCGCACGGTGTACCGGCTGACGCTGGTGACGGGGTGGAACACGGACGAGCTCAAGGCATACGCTGACCTGCTCAAGCTGGGTCAGCCCGACTTCATTGAGATCAAGGGCGTCACCTACTGTGGCAGGTGGGGGCTGTGGCAGGTTGGGGCTGTGGCAGGAGGGGGCTGTGGCAGGTGGGTGCTATGTGGTGGGATTTCCAATGCTGGGTGGTGCAGGTACCATGGTGGAATCAATTTTCCCTACATCTTAACTCCTCGCTCCCATGTGCGTCAACCTACTCCAATCTCTTCAACTCTCTCCCTTCCTTCCTCTCTCACCTCCCCTCTCCCGTCACTGCCTCCCGCCCCACCCCTCATGCCCCCTCTTCCCCCCACCAGCACGGGGGCGTCATCCTTGACCATGCAGAACGTGCCGTATCACGAGGACGTGAGGCGCTTCGCAGCAGAGCTGGGGGCGGCAGCAGGGGAGGCGGGGGCGGGGGAGTATGAGCTGGCGTGTGAGCACGAGCACTCGTGCTGCGTGCTGCTGGCACTCTCTGCCAAGTTCAAGGCGCCCGATGGCACGTGGCACACGTGGATCGACTATGACAAGTTCCATCAGCTGGTGCGTTGGAATGGGGAAGAAGAGAGGAGAGCGTGGGGAAGGGGAAAGGGAAGGGAGAGTGGGGTGGGGTACAGAGGGTGGCAGGGATGGCTGCTGTGCCCCACGTTTGTTTGTTTGTTGTTTTCTTTTTCGTAAGCTTGTCTGTCCTCTAAAACCACACTTACCGTATCTCCACTCTCCCCTCCCTCCCCCTCTCCTCCCCCCCCACCCTCCCCCACCGCGCCTTTCCTCTTCTGCACACGCCTATGCCCATACCCCAGGTGGCAAGTGGGCAGCCATTCAGCAGCACGGACTACATGGCTCCCACGCCCCTCTGGGCCGTGTTTGGTGCCAAGGAGGCGGGCTTTGACCCGCAGGAGACACGTGTGCGCAGGGAGAAGAAGGCAGGCGCAGTGTGATGATGGGGCGCTGCTGCTGTGGCAGGGAGGGGATTTATGGTGTTGGTGTGGCAGGGGTAGATGAGCAGTGCTTGCTCTAGTGTAGACTGTCCTGTACCAGGCCTAAAAGTCGTGCTTAGCGAACATAAACTCACATTTGGTCCAAAGATTTGGACGCACATGAAAAAACTCGCAGTTCAATGGGGCACCAGCCACACCATCACGCCATTAAAACAGAGGATTCAGGCTGGGGATGATCTCGATTCCATTAGTTAAGGCCCAGCCTTTCCAAGGCTAGAAGTAAAAAGTATCAACTACCGTATAAATATGGCAAAAGCAAGCTAACGTTGCGCGAGTGGACATACCAGTATCACAAGCTATAGCGCCTACTCCACACCCAAGCAAGGAGCTCAGTCTCATGGAGCACGATAAGCTGCGAGATACAGTGCGCTGGTTTAAATGCACACTGAGCACCAGCAATCGCTTATTGCACGCAGTCATCGCGCAGCAACGCCAGTAATTCATCCAGAGTAAGTGACCTGTTCAACGTATGTGGGCCTCTCCAGTTCTCTCGCCGTACTCGACATGCACGGTGCCGGCGATGCAGCAACCGCATGTCACGCCATTCCCAACGGCCTCAGCAACGCCTGCAGCCCCCGAAACGAAGTTTCGAGATTGCCTTCGTGCGGCGCGTCGAGGGATGTCGCGCCATGCGCTGTTGTATCGTCTTTCGCGCCCTCCGCAGCAAGCGTCGAACGACGGTGAGCTGGCGACTCAAGAGCCGAGTCGTCTCCATCGGACGGCTCCACGGCTCCGTCCAGCAATCGACGGTCCGCTTTGAACGAGGATGGATACAAGGTCGGAGAGACAGAGAGGTGCGACGACGAGTGTACAATCGATGTCGAAACGGCATCATCTGTAATCTCAAGAGCAAGAGAGCGATTACAGTTAAGCACACGCCTTAACACAGAAGGCTCTTCAACTTGACTGTACAGTAAAACTGCCAGTGAAACGCGGCACTCATGAATTGCAAAAAAACCAATTACCTTTTTGGAAAGTCCAGAGGACTGCCATGGAGAGCATGAGAACGACGGGAATCAGATGTACTAATCGCTCCGCGCCACGACTTCCCGACCCTGCAAACTCGGAAGTTCCATCCTGCGTCTCCGCGGCGCAGCTCCCTGGGCGGATTTCGACAGTAATGTTAGATACGTGCGCGCAGTCCGACTGCGGTGAGCAGGCTTCGGATGCCATGTCAATTGCGGCCCACAGCTAGAGCTAGCTCGGAGACAGGGTATCAGAAAACAAAACAGCTTTATCGCAACCAGGAGTTAATTTTCGCAGTTCCACAAACAGCTTGTTGCTAATGTCGGTTTGCTAAACAGCTTGGTTGTCTAGAGGGGCTTCGAGAAAGATGAAGTGGGGAGAAATTGAAGGCCGAATGGATTGTTGTCCAGCCGAAATACTATGGCTGCCTTTGTAGCCAAGTACAGTACCATACAGCCAGCACAGCACAGGTTGAGTGCGTCACCAAAGCGACACCAATTGGTTTTTCTGAAATCGCCCCGATGTTCCAAACCCAGACCGCGGTGTGAGGTTAGCGAGGGAGCCAAACCGCGACCAAGCCCCTTTCCGCGCCGTCGATTCTTCAGATCGCCAACTGCGACTCGTAACGGCGGCAGCGCATGAAAGGCGACCCGGATGTCAGTCAAGAACATGTGCGATGATTGATACGACTTCACACGACGCAGATAATTGGTTCAGAAAAATGAAGGGCATCGTTGGGTGCCACGGCTGCAAGCAGACGAACTGTACACGACATGCGCATGTCTGGTGGGACGTGCGACAGCCGCTCTCTGCTAGCTGTGACGTAAGCACAGCGTCGTATTGGAATGGTCGGTTACTGTCGGCGACAGTCACGAAACTGTAAATGGAAGCCACTGCTCAGTGAATTTTTTGATGTGCAATCCCAATGCAGTTCAGGGAGGCTCTCGCGCGTTCATCCGCTGGTCGCTCAAGCTGTTTCAGTAGGTTGCACAAGGTGGAAAGATGTTTTATTAAGCTCAGCTCACACGACCGCAACACACCAAACAGAACCGTGGTTACCCTCTCGGAACACCCCTTTTGGAGCACTTCTCCTTACAACGTAAAAAACTGAATCGAAATTAGTTTGGAAGGCACAATATATGTAGCACGGAGAGTGTCTAGCGTTTTGTAAACCGAAGCCTCGTCGTATGGCGTATATAAATCTACGTCAACAATGGACACGTGCCACGATTAGGAGAGCCAACAAGAGAACTAGTTGTGCATTGAGTTCCTTTCGACCTCGATAGTTAGTATCGAGGCGGTGCGATTTGCTCGAGGCATGCGGATTTCTCTTGAGACCGAAGTGGAGCGCGCCACCAGTGCAAGTAGTAGCCTTCAGTCACCATGGTTTAAAAGGAAATTGCGTGGTCTATTCTTACGACGCAGTTGTTTTGCACCCTCCAGCTATATCGCCTTCCTCTTTCTGACCATACCTTCAGTCGAATTTCGTGAACATCATGGCCAGCCACCAGCAGGTAACGGCCGCCTTACCGAGATTCGATATCCAGCCTCGCTTCCTCCCTCTCTTGTTAAGTGTCTCTGAACGTGTTTTTTGTGTGAGTTTACAGAAAGCTACCGGTCACGCTGAGGAGGCCCGTGGGCAGCTTGGAGCGGGCGCTGAGGAAGCTCGCAAGGCCACTCAGGCGAAGATGGAGCAGGGCAGGCAGGGTCTTTCGGAGACCGGGCAGCAGATGAAGGACACCTCGGGACGCGCTGCCGAGACTGCTCGCGAGAAGTCCGCGCAAGCTGGTGATGTTGCGGGGAGGAAGATGGAGGAGACGAAGCAGGGTGCCTCTGAAGAGCTTGATCGTGCCCAGGAAAGTGCTCAGAAAACGTGGGAGCAGACCAAAGAGAGCACTGCTCAGGCCACTGAGCAGGCGAAGCAGACGGCAGGAGAAACCGCCCAGAGGACGCAGGAGGCAGCTCAGGGCACTGTAGATAAGACCAAGGAAATGGCTAGCCGCGCCGCTGAGTCTACCCAAGAGACGGGAAAGGGTGCAGCTGAGCAGTCAAGGATTGCGGCTGAAGAGGCAGCTGCAAAGACCAGGGAGACTGCTCAGGCCGCTCAGCAGTCCGTCACAGATACTGTGAAGGTTAGTGTTGGCATGTGAAGCCATCTAGAAGCTTTTTGGCTGATGTTGGTGATGCATTGACCAACTTCCCGTGTTTCTGTTGTGTTGCAGGGCATGGGAGAACGCCTGTCTGAAATGGCTCAGTCTGCTAAGGAGGCCCTGGGCCTGCAGGGTGAGCAGGCACCACCAGCTGCAACTGATGTCACCACTGATGTCCCCACTGTCAGGGGCAAGGAGCTGTGACTGCAGCACGGTTTCCATGAATGTAGTCGGTTTCGCATGTACATAGGATGTTTCCTGGTGAGAAGGTCTCTATGAGAAAACATCATCTGAATCTCCGATATACATGTGTTCATGCATTTCTAGTGAAGTGTATATGATAAATGGTAATCCAAACTGCCATAACCATTCTGCCATGGTGGTTTTTTGTATTGAACTGAAGGGGACAACGATATTTGAGTGAAAACATCAATCATATCGTGTACTACGGTATTGATTGATAATATCAATCCTGCTCCCCAACCAGATCGGGGAAACGTGCTGTGTCATTTCAGGGAGCTACGGCAGAAATTATGCTCGCCACGGCAGCAATGAGCAGCGTTGGAACATTATCCGACTCAACCAGTTGCTGGTTGGTCGGCCTTCCCGAATCTCGGGTGATGATATTTTTGCACGTGTAGTATTTATCCGCCAACCTGCCCCCACTTGAACCCAGAGGTCAACTGCTCAAATTTTTGTTGGCGGCTTGGGCGTTGGGTGGGAGAGAGCCAGCAGCGGGGTGTTCCCCCAGGCCAATAGGCCGAGCATTGAGATTTGCGTGTGAAAGGGAAGCAAGCTCAAGGCGAGCCTCGCCATTGGTTTGGAGACTTCCCTGATCTTCGCATCCCCCCAACAACCCCTGCTTATGCGGGCAGCAAGTCCCGAAGGACGGCGGATGGGCCGTTTTGCCCCAAGAATTGAGGTGGAGAGTCGGTCGGTGGTGATGGGTGGTTGTTGTGAGGGGAACGGTCGGAGGCAGTTCCTAGGACACACGGCGATGAGCTCATCAACACACTTGCCCGGGCCTGTAGGTCACGGACTGCGTCTCTGAACTTTGATAAGCTGCTTCCTCAGTGTGTTGACTCCATTTCTTTTTCCCACTCTGTGATACCATCCATCCCTTTGAGGCATCACATTTACCATTTTCTCCTCCTGGACGTGTCAGTGAGGTAGTCAGCCATGGCGGACGCCGCAGTGAAGCGGTCTGAGGAGGAAAGTAACTTGCTTGATTTCGACACGGCAGCAGTCGCCGCCGTTACGACGGAGGAGGGGGTTATTGAGCCACTTCCAGATTTTGTGGAGAAGGCACTGGTGAACTCGCGAGCCGTGTACGATGCCATGTACAAGCGGTCGCTCGAAGAGCCCGAGGCCTTCTGGTCCGAAGTCGCGAGTCACTTCCACTGGAACAAGAAATGGGAGGTGAGACCCTGGATTCACCGTATCTTTTTTGTTCGCAAGTATGCATGCCTTTCTCTGATGGGCTCGAAATGTGTCAATTGCATGACCATCCATGCCGTGCGTGCAGCTACTGGTATTCGTGACTACCTTCGCCGTTTCTTAGTGTCAGCCTTCTCCTTTAATTCATTCCTTTCTTCTTACATCATATCTATCGCTGCTGCCTGTCCGCTATCAGACATTCCACTCGTACAATTTCGACACGCGCAAGGGCCCAGTCGACATCAAGTGGTTCGTCGGCGGCGAGACGAACCTGTGCTACAACGCCGTGGACCGCCACGTGTCGGCCGGCAAGGGCAACAAGGTGGCGCTGATCTGGGAGGGCAACGACCTTGGCGTGCAGGGCCAGTGGACGTACTCTCAGCTGCTGTCGCAGGTGAGTCAGAGACGACACCGAAAGGTGACGATGTACGAATTAATGAATGAAAGAAAGAAAGCAATGCAATGGAGGACGTGAGTGAGTGGAGAAGAAAGAAATTTGAGGTATGCATTCCTATTTCCGATTTCTCATGTAGCCGCCGTGAGGAGCAAATGTGTTCGTGGGAGGATAAGTGAATATTGGATTTGTTGTTAGTCTACAGGATTACTGACACTTGTGCTATCAGACTATACTTCGATTCTAAACAAAATGACTCAATTGTCTCGAGCCGTTCGCGCGACATGCATGTTGCCATGGCATCAGGTGTGCAAGATCGCTAATTACCTGAAGAGCGTGGGTGTAAAGCGAGGCGACACGGTCAGCATCTACCTCCCTATGGTGCCAGAACTGCCAGCAGGTACTCTCGCCTTCACATTCCTCGCCACCTTGTAAACCCCTAGCTTCGCCTGGCCACCGCAGCGGCTGAGAGGTATTTCTGGGCGCACATTGAATTCGTCGATGAATTTGTAGTTTAGTATGACCGCCTCCCGTCATCACTTTTTCTGGATTCAGCATCCCGTATTATACGTGTACAATTTCCATACCATATACAATATCTGTGCCATATCCAGTCAACGACAGCAGGCATTTCCCTCCTGAGCAGTCTCACACTCCCACTCCCTCTTTCTCTTCCGCCTCTCTCCGTTCCGCGTGCGTTCCCCCGTGCGCCTGCGCAGCGATGCTGGCGTGCGCGCGCATAGGCGCGGTGCACTCCGTGGTGTTCGCGGGGTTCAGCGCGGAGTCGCTGGCGGGGCGCCTCGTGGACTCGCGCAGCAAGGTGGTTCTCACCGCCACGGCCGTGCTGCGCGGCACCAAGCTCATCGCGCTCAAGTCCATTGTAAGCTGGGACCCTTTTCCGTCAGCCTTTAGTCTGAACTAGCCACAATGTGCAGTCAATCTGCGTAGCATATGTGCTCGCACACACCCACACACACCGCGTGGTGAGGCAAATGCGTTTCTCTTCCGTCTGTCGCTCCCCGTCGCTAGTGCCGATCTCGCATGCGCACGGCGGCCCTCTCTAACCTCGCGTTGCCTGTCCTTGCCTCCATCGCCGTCCCTCCTCGCGTCCACTATTACCCGCTACCTACCCCTCAGTCTTGCGCGTAGCTTCCACACACAACCCCTCACACACGGAGACCCCTCGTTCCCCGGTCCCTCCTGGTCCGGTCACGTCCTCTTCCCTCGATTTCTTCGCCGCGCGTCGCAGGTGGATGACGCGATCGCGCAGTGCCCCGACGACAACCGTCCGACGACGGTGCTCGTGTACGACAACAAGCTCGCCATCTCCGTACGTCGCACACACGCGCGCGCACACACACACACACACCCGCTTTTTTTCCCGCCACGCCATCCCTTTCCCGTCACCCGTTCATTCCCGCCGCCTCGCGCTCCCTCTCGTCCCCTGCCGCTTCTCGTTCTGCCTTGTTGCTCGTTACTGTCGGGGGACGGTCAATGCGGGTGGTCTAACTGTCCTTCCGCCCCCGCTCCCGCCCATCGTCCGCTCTGCTCTGTGCGCGCATGTGCAGCGGGAGAAGGCGTCGTTCGTGGAGGGGCGGGACCACTGGTGGCAGGACGAGGTGGAGAAGCAGAGCGAAGTGTGCCCGGTGAGATGCCCTGCCATGCCCTTCCATGCCATGCCGTGCTCTTGCCATGCCGTGCCTCAATGCACTTACATCTACAACATATTTTTTTTTTGGAGGTGGTACCAGTCCATCCGACCACTCCATTCACTGCGTGCTTACGCGCCTTTGAACAAACAAAAATGAATAAATACACCACTAGACTAGAGAATCCCGAAAATTGGTTCAAGCATGGCGTGCACTAATCGGCAATTACTTGATCTCCATTTCGCGCATGTGCGCGCGCGGCAGGTGGAGTGGATGGAGGCGGAGGAGCCGCTGTTCATGCTGTACACATCGGGCAGCACGGGCAAGCCCAAGGGCGTGCTGCACACCACGGCGGGCTACATGCTGGGCGCCGCCACGTCCTTCAAGTACATCTTCGACCACCATGATGACGACGTCTTCTGGTGTGCCCCTCCGCCCTTCCGCCCCTCCCCCTCTCCGCCCCTCCGCCCCCCCGCCTCTCCCTCTGACGCTCTGTTGCGCTCACTTGACCTCGTTCGTCTTGCTGTCTCGCGCATCCGCTGTCCCAGCGCAGTTCTCCTCATTCCATCGCTCACTCTCTAGTGCGCTCATCAATACTTGTGGATTCTCTCGTGCCACCCTCAGTGCCCCCCCCCCCCTCCCCCTTCCCCTTCGCCGCACTGCTCTCCCGCCTGCCTCCGACGCGCGCGTGCACCAACCCTGGTTTCCCGCCTACTTGCTCCTGTTTGCTTATGTGTTGGCGTGCGTCATGGGCGGGTGGAATGGCGCGGGAGCAGGTGCACGGCGGACTGCGGGTGGATCACGGGGCACACGTACCTGACGTACGGCCCGCTGCTGAACGGCGCCACCGTGCTCGTGTTTGAGGGCGTGCCCACGCACCCCGACCCCGGACGCTGCTGGGACGTTGTTGACAAGTATGGCTGCGAGGGAGGGGGCAAGGTGGGGAAGAGAGGGGATGGGAAGCGGAGGGTGGGGAAGAGAGGAAGGTGCGGGGGAGGGTAGAGAATGGGGGAGAGGGAGGGGGCCTGGAGGAGGGTGGGGAAATCTGCTTTTGGGAGGGCTGGCTCGGGTCTGGCTACCCTTTCCTGTCTTGGTGTCGTCCTCACTCTCCTGTCTCCTCCTGATCCCCTCCCTCTCTCCGCTCGTCCTCGTCCCTTCGCCAACCCCCGTGCACCAGGTACAAGGTCACGGTGTTCTACACGGCTCCCACTGCCATCCGCGCTCTCATGCGATGCGGCGACCATGTGAGACAACCTGCCATGCCATGCCATGCCATGCACGCATGCAAGCCATCGCGCATCCATGCGTTCATGCATGCTTCTGTGTGTCCAGTCCGTGCATACACTTGCATGCACGCGCCACTCGTCTACCACTCACTCTTGTCCGCGCATTCCTTTCCTCGACCCCCTTTACAGAACTCTTCCCACTCCCATTGCGATCTTCTACCTTCTCTACCCCTCCCCATTCCCCCTCCCCCCCTTGCTCCTCCCGTGCCTCCTCTCTCGCCCTGCCATGGTGCAGTGGCCGGGCAAGTACAGTCTCACATCGCTGCGTCTACTGGGGAGTGTGGGCGAGCCCATCAACCCTGAAGCCTGGCGGTAAGAGGCACGCACATTACACACGACTGCACACACCGTGACTAGTAACCCTGCACACAGCGCACGACCACTGGCCCACTGTTAAAGAATTGACTGCATAACAATTGAAGGCAGCTGTTTGCACTGGTGTGTGGGCCATGTCATTCAGACTGACCCTCCCATTCATCCACTCCCTCATCCGTCACTACTATCCCCCCTCTCTCTCTATCCTGCCCAATCCCTGGTGCAGCTGGTACCACTCGGCTATTGGCCGCGGGCGCTGCCCCATTGCCGACACGTGGTGGCAGACAGAGACCGGCTCCATCATGGTCAGTGGCAGTGCGCCATGGGATAGCGCCAGTGGACACGCAGCCCTCAACACAAGATGCCACTCGTTTCTCCCGGTTTTTTTCTTACTTCCCCGGTCTCTCTGTCTATGTCACACAGTCACACTAATCCATTCGTATGCCTCCTCTCTGTGCAGATCACTCCTCTGGCGGGTGCGTGGGCGCTCAAGCCAGGCAGTGCGACGCTGCCCTTCTTTGGAGTGGAGCCCGCAGTGCTGGACGAGAACGGCAACGAGCTCCAGGTCAGTGCTCTGCCTTCCGCTCAACGCCTCTATTGTCTCTCCTGACGAGAAAGACGTTTCCACGAGTTTTCGCAAGTGACCCTGCGTTTGCGTTTCTTTCCATTGATCCGCTGCCCACGTTTCTCTGTCCAATTTCCAAGTCCCTCCGACTGTAACCCTGCCTCGTCCATTCCCCGTACCTCCCTCTTTTCTGCTCTCTCCACCCATCCTTTCCCCTCCCTCGCCCCAGGGCGCGTGCAGTGGGTTCTTGTGCATCAAGCGCGCGTGGCCTAGCATCATGCGCACGGTCAAGGGCGACCATGCACGCTTCGAGGAGGTCTACTTCTCCATGTTCAAGGTCAGGCCCCGCACATGCCATGCATGCATGCATGTGTGTGCGTGCTGCCCGCTGCATGTGTGCGGTGGACTGCGGTGCTTATCCTGTGCTGCTTACTGCATACGGCGGTGTTTCGGTGCTGTGATGATCAACAAGTGTTTCCTGTCACGCCCACCTGTCTTGCTCAACCTCCCACCATCCCTGCATCGCAATTTATCCCCTTCCTTCCTACCGCCTCTCCTTACCCGGCACTACCCCTCTCCCTTCCACTGTGTGACGCCTCCCCCAGGGCTACTACTTCACGGGTGACGGGTGCCGCAGGGATGAGGACGGTTTCTACTGGGTGACAGGGCGAGTGGACGATGTCATCAACGTCAGGTACCGTATGAAAGTCGGTCAATAGCACGCACCCTTTGACTGCTTGACATCTCCACCCCGAGAATCATATCCATACAGCCGATGATCTCATCCACATGGCCTCTTTCTGATGTCGTCTGGTGCTCCCTGCCACTCCCTTGTCTCCCTCCACCAGTGGTCACCGCATTGGAACGGCTGAGGTGGAGAGTGCACTTGTGGCGCACGAAAGCTGTGCTGAGGTAAGCGGCTCGCTTTGTACTTGCTTGCAGCAGTCTGATTGGACTGCCAACGCCCGGATGCCTGTGAACATGCGGGTTCTGCTGCCTGTCACCAGCGCTAATTCTCTTTGTTTTGAGCTGGCATGCAGGCGGCAGTGGTGGGGTATGAGCACCCTATCAAGGGTCAGGGTATTTATGCCTTCGTCACACTCATGGAAGGGTGAGTTACGACTACCACCTCCATTTTTCTTCTGTTCCCATGTAGTGCTTGCGACTACGACACAGCAGCTGCTGACTCACTCGTGCTTGTGTGTGCCTGTGCCATGTGTCACAGGGTGGAGCAAACGGAGGAGGTGCGAACGGCTCTCAAGTCCGCTGTTCGCCAGGCCATTGGAGCCTTTGCCACTCCTGACGTCATCCATTGGGCTCCTGGGCTGCCAAAAACGGTACGTGAAGTTCTTGCACCTTGCTGAGGCACTGGGGGTTGTGTGCACTGCATTTGATGTTGGTGTCTATGCCTAAGCTCCACATCCTTGCGTATACATCCTCTTGCCACCATCCTCTTGCCACCATCCTCTTCCCACATCTCCTGTCCCCTACCCTTGTGTGTTTCCTCTGTTTCAGCGCTCTGGCAAGATCATGCGCCGGGTGCTTCGCAAAATTGCTGCCAATGACCTGGAGACCCTTGGTGAGTTTTCGGTCTTCATACCTAAGGATCTGCTTGTTCCTTGTGCCATCGCTCTGCTTCATGTACTGATAACCTTTCTCTTCAATCTCTTTTCAGGCGATATAAGCACCCTTGCTGATCCTTCAGTTGTGCAGCAGTTGATCGAGTTGAGAGGAGTGTAGTGTAGGTATGCTGTTCATGCCAAGTAATCAGAACTTTGTCAGGGTTCAGAACTTAGTCGTGCCGAGAAAAGGGAGCATTGGCATGTTTCCAGCTTACATCCAGCAGCTTTGTTCCATCCATGCATCACTCATTAGTGTAAGGGAGCAGCCGTAGGCGTAATTATTGTATTGCATGTTCTCAGTTATTAGTATCAAAACAATAATTTCCTGCTGTCATATGTAACACAACAAAGTATTAGTAAAATTTGGATAAAAAAAGACCTATAATCTGAATTAACGTAGAACGGCTAAAATATGACCTGAAATAAAATCAGTAGATTTTTTATCAGGTCACATGCCTAGTATATTATAAGACAAGTTCACATTATCGGACCTGCAAGGCGTATTCTGATGTAGCTAGGTCGTTTAGGCAGGAAGACTCAGACGTTGGTTGTTCTTCCAGCTGCAAGAAACACACCACAGACGTCCATAACAAGATTCCACCCTAAACCGCAACAAAACACAACAAGACCGGCGTACCTGATGATGTAGTAATAGAAGAAGTCGGCATAGAGGGCTGTCTGAACAAGTCCCGAAATCCAGACTGCAAACAGAAGGGATGGTGGTGAGAAGACACGCATCGAAATCGGGCAGACACAAGGTACTCCCAATGCTTACCAATCCATTGGCGGTAGTGCTTCTCAGTCATATAGCGGTATATCCAGTTCAGGATGTAAAGGGAACGGTAAGCACTGCAAATACAACAGCCATCAAAAGTCAGCACCAGGGGATCAACACCAAAACAGCGAGCGTACAATAGTTCTGGTGCCTCACCCGAGGAAAAAGACGTAATTTCCTGTAAGATTGTCAATATTCTTTGTCCTTTGAAGAAGCACAAGCTGCGGGAGAATGGCGACTGCTTCCAGATATATCGAAAACGCCCAAAGAACCTGGAATACCGAAGGAGGACATTAAATTTAGTAAAAAAGCAAATGCTACCTATAAAACCAGCCTTCCCGCCGATCCATACCTCCGTGAAGGTGAATTTCTTGTTCACGAGCAATGCGAGCACGAAACACGGGACGACAAGGAAGATGTGACGGAAGGTATCATGATCCTTGTCATATTTCTGCCGCACCACTTTGTCGTAGCGCATGTAGTAGACGATTGCGACCGTGCTCGAAAGAAATATGAGCTTCATCATCGTGTTATAAACGGAGATGAAGGAGTATAGAAGATCCAGGTATCTAGTCACAAAAATGATGACGTACAGCTCCTGAGTCTTCAGCGAAATTCCTGCGGCAATGGGAGTAGATGAAAGGGAGTGAGACGGAGAACCCTGGAACCCCAGATCCTCCCAAACACGGCCCGTGGCTCACCAGCACAAGATTTCATTGTCATTATTTTCAGAAGCAGCACCACTATACTCATCAGGTGGGTCATATCACCCGCAAGCCGGAATATATTCATCATGATTGCGGAATGTCAGACCGCCGGACGCGGGCTAGCTGCTAACTCGGATCTAGCCTTACGCTGGAACTCGTGAATCTCAGAGGATGCGTGAGAACGCTACATAGAAGGATTGTAGTGTCAGAATCTGCGGATCGTTCACTGCAGTGGGCACTTCAGATCACGACCAGGAGTCGCACATTGTTACAAAGATACTTTCACCTTTGAACTTGACATAATGAGACGCCCATATCTACTTCTATTAAAAGGTTTGACAGAAGCGAGTACATCAGATGACGGGCTTTTGTGGCAGGGCGTCCTGGGCGGGATGATGTGATCTTGTCGTGTGACATTACATCCGTCCATCCGTGCCTATCGACGAAATCAATGTGGTTCGCTGATTCGCTGGCCGCCAGTGCACCCCAGCCACTACTGTCAACCATCAAAATCCGCCTCCCTCCTGACCAACCTGACTCCCGTACCTTTCCCGCCGAACCCGAATCAGGTCATAGCCACCCAACCACACTGCAATGCTTCACAAAGCACCCTAACGCATTTCATCGCTAACCACGTCTTCCTAGCCACAAGAGTACAACGTGCCTTGTCGAATGGCGTCAGGAGCGAGTGCACAGAACAAGCAGCATGGCTTGCACACACCCTGCTCGGTCATCACAGGCCATTACCAGGTCAGCCCTCATCCATCCATCTCTCTCTCCCGCCTCTCCTTCCTTCCGCTCCAATATTACACGCCAGACCAACGCAACACCTGTCTAACCCATCACTTCACCCTAGGCCGCTAGTCATACCTCGGCCACGAGCCTCAGCCCGCCAAGCTCCATAGCTTTTGTTGCTCCGCTTCACCCTAGTTCCGCCAATTCTTTTTCTCGCTTTCCTTCTCTTCTACCGAGTGCCTCGACGTTATGTCAGCAGCAAGCACCTAGCCTTTATGTCGAGTCACCCACTCTCCATCCCTCAGCACGCGTGATCTTCCACCTGCTGTGACGCCCGCCAGTCTGACTTCGACGCTCTATCCGTCTGCCGCGTAGGTCGTTGCGGCTGCAATTATTACGCGTGTCAGAACTCAGAACTTTCCTCGTTTACGATACACTTCCTCGATCTATCAGCATCGCGTGCCTTTCCTGCAAATCTTCCTGCCATCTTTCTTCCTGCCTATCCATTTCGCGCAAATCCCGCGGTGCATTCGCGCGCTTAGGCTTCGTACCTCTCTCCGCGCCGTCGGCCTCAACGTTAGCGTTAGCGTCACCCACACCGCTGGCTCCGCAGGCGTCTCCAGGCCACCTGTGCGGGGCCGCGTCGGGTCCTCCTCCTGTGAAGAGCGCGTGTCGCGATGACATGGGCCCTTACCCGGGGTTTGCGGCTGCGCTGACCGCGGCAGCACGCGCGGATGCGGCTCCCCGCAGCAGCAGCACCGAAGCTAGCGCGCAGCAGTGCGCGCGCGACAAGGCGGAAGGCGGCAAGCTCGCGGGTGCGCCGAGCGCGGTAGAGAGCGTTGAGATCGCAGAAACGCCAGTAGAGGCCGCAGCAGCAGCAGCGGAAACCGCAACGGGAGGGACAGGCGAACGCGCAAGGACGGGTAGCGACAAGGCGAATACAGAATCCGCAGTTAGTCATACCGAACAGGGGGCGTTTGCGGGTGTGGGTATGGGCGCACAAGCGGACGCACGATTGGCGCAAGGCGACGAGAGGGTACGAGACGGTGAAACGGGGGAGGATGAGGATGAGGAGGAAGAAGAGTGGGAGGAGCAGCAGCAGAGGCCGTTGTGTGTGGTGGGGGAGGAGGGCGAAGGAGTCATGGAGGCGGATGCGGAGGAGCAGAGGAGCGCGCGCAAAGCGGGGGTGTGGCGAGGCGAGGTGCTGGAGGTGGCGGTGAGGCGAGGCCTCGTGGAGCAAGTGCAGCGCAAGCTCAGAAAGGTGTGTTTGAAGTGCTGGCGTCCAAAAACACGCTCACAACACGCTCTGCTCTACGGTCTACCCGTACTAGTCCTGGCTTTGGGGCTGCTTATCTGAGAACTTCCCTTCTCTGATCCGCGCTTCCTAGGAAAATTCTTGCCGCACTGCGCTCGGCGGGATTCTTCCCTAGTCGGTCGTTGGCTTTCAATTGGCTACCAGCCTCGTATGCCTAACGCACCGCGCATCGCTTACCTCTCGGACCTACCCATTCCGCTCACACGCGCCCACATCTGCCGTTCCATGCCTCCTCGAATCCCTTCCCTCCCTCTCAACGCTGCCTCGTAAACCACCTCTTCCGCGCCCCGCACACCCCCCCTCCCCACCCGCCCCCTCTCTCCCGCCCGCTTCTCTCCCCACGCCTGCTGCCAAACCGCCTCCCCCCCCCCCCCCACCAGGCGGTGGAGTCGCCGTCGCAGCGAGCAGGCGTGCTGCGGCAGCTGTTCACGGACATCGCGTTTGAGCTCGACGGCCACGCGCACGACGTGCTGCTCCGCGACCCCTCCGCCTCCCTCTCCTCCCTCTGCGCCGCCGCGCACCCCGCCCTCGCGCCCGCCTTTTCCGCCACGGCCGTGCTCGCGCCGTTCCCAGGGGCCGCCACTGCGCCGGACTCTCGCCTGCTGCTGCTGCCGCAGGAGAAGCAGCAGCACGGGGCAGCGCAGGGAGAGGACCAGGGGAACAAGCCCTGGCACCACCAGCAGCAGCAGCAGCAGGAGGGGTTGCGGGGTGTGGCGGCAGGGGGGGAGTGCGAGCGGGTGTGTTTCTACGAGGTGTTGGCGCAGCACTACGCGGAGAGCGAGGCGTCAGTGGCGGCGCTGCTTCCTCTCTTCGCGCCCCTCTGGAGCTGCGTCTTCTCCTCGCAGATCTTCGCCCTGCTGCTCCACAGATGGGTAAGCCTCACTGCCCTCTCTCGCCCTTTCTTTCTCGGACGTGCACATGTGTGCTTTGCTCTGCTCTGCACTGTACCCCTCGCTGTGCTTTGCTCTGCACTGTACCCCTCGCTGTGCTTTGCTCTGCACTGTACCCCTCGCTGTGCTTTGCTCTGCACTGTACCCCTCGCTGTACCACTCCTCCAGCGACTGCATGTTTCCCGCAATTTTCCGTTTTGTATCAAATCCATCACTCTGTCTCTCCTCCTCTCAGCGTTTTCCCTTTTTACCCCCCACTTCCCCACCCCCCCCTCTCCCTCTTTATCCCTCTCTTTCACACACTCTCTCACTCTCCCCCCTTCTCCCTGTGTCTCTTGCCTGCCGTGCGTGGCTGTGAGCAGCTGTACAGTTCGCCGAAGCCGCATTCAGAGGAGGTGCACCGCTACACACGCGCCTTCATGACCGGCGTCGAAGGCATCTTCTGGTGCAACGCTGCCTTGCACCCATGCATGCATTCATGCAACCACGAACCCATGCACCCACGCATGCAACCATGCACCCACCCATGCATGCACCCATGCACCCATGCATGTTCCCCTGCACCCATGCATCCATGCACTGTTGCACACCCATTTTTCTTGCAACCATGGCCTCTCCCCCACCATGGCACTCTCTACACTAGTGTGCGCCCACAACCTCGTGCCACCTCCTCAGACTTGCCGCTACCAGCTGTTGTCTGTTGCGGTGACTCTGAAATGTGTTTCTGACCTTCCATTCTTCCTCCTGTTTGACCTGTGCTGTGTGCCGCGTGCCATGCCAGGATCGACCTGCAGAGCAATGAGCAGCGCTTTTGCCCTCTCTTCAATGTGCGCCTTGGTTCTGATCGGAACACACACATGCCCGTACCCACACACCGCCACATACACACCTGCACTCACTCTCTCCTCACTCTGTGTCCACTGCTCAGTGCGAGCCTGCAACCCAGTCTTGTTGTCACCTGAAGCACAGCACATCTCAAAGCATGTCGTTTCAAATCTCGCATCCCTTTATCCTCCCACCCGCTCCTCTCTTGCACAGACCGGCCGTCCCTCCCACTGCTATCTTCTTCACCCTCCTCTCGTTTTTAACTCTCCTCCTCCTGCGTTGCTGTGTGTCTCCCATGCCATGCCGTGGGTTCAGTTTGTGATGGAGCGCATTGTCATGGACGAGCAACGCTTTGCCCTCGTGCCTCCTCTGGTGAGCTTGCAACTATGCACACCCGCGCCCCTCTCCCTCTCCTTCTCCCCCCCCACATGGACACATTCACACACACATCCACACGCGCTCACACACACGTACACACGCACAGAGACACCCCTCCACACACGACAGTCACGCACGTGCACAAATGACCAGTGATTCCATGCAGTGTCAGGAATTTCATCTGTACAACCTTTGCTCATACCTGCTGTTTTCTGTACTTCGCCCCTGGTCTCATTCTCCTCCCCTCCCTCCCCCGTGCCCTCTGCGCTCTGCCCCTCTCTCATCACGCAGTTTCAGAAGGACATGTTCTGCACTGTGGCTCGCTGCTTCTTCCTCTACCAGTCAGGTGCATGCACGCATGCACGCATACATGAACCACTGCACCGTGTGTCACCACCGCATGCATGAACCACTGCACCGTGTGTCACCACCGCATGCATGAACCACTGCCCGTGTGTCACCATCGCATGCATGAACCACTGCACCGTGTGTCACCACCGCATGCATGAACCACTGCGCCGTGTGTCACCACCGCATGCATGAACCACTGCACCGTGTGTCACCACCGCATGCATGAACCACTGCACCGTGTGTCACCACCGCATGCATGAACCACTGCACCGTGTGTCACCACCGCATGCATGAACCACTGCACCGTGTGTCACCACCGCATGCATCCCATGCTCACTGCTCTGTGCCTAGCTTCCCTCTGGCAGCATTTCCGCCCACCGCCCCAACCACCCCTCTTCCCACCTCCTGACTTCGCTCCTCACTCTCACTCCGCTACTGCTGCCCCTCCTCCTTTTCCTTCCCCCTCTCCTCCTCGTCCTCGTCCCCTATCTCTTGCCCTCAGGAACGCGTCTGCCCGCACTGCTGGCAGCAGCATCACGGCAGGAGGCGCTGCACGGGGCAACA